TCCAGGTGGGGGCCCGGGGGGTGGAGACCTGGGGGGGTGTAGACCCTGGGTGTATTTCCAGGGTGGGGGGCTGCCCCCTCCCCCCATAAGCAAGTTCAGGGGGTGCTAATAGGAGATGGGCCCACCCCCCCCCCCCCGCAGTGGGGCATCCCAGGGGGAGGGTGTGTGAGTCCATCTCCTATTAGCACCCCCTGAACTTGCTTATGGGGGGAGGGGGCAGCCCCCCACCCTGGAAATACACCCAGGGTCTCCACCCCCCAGGTCTCCACCCCCCGGGCCCCCACCTGGAAACACACCCCGGAGGGGGGGGGGAGGGAGAGGGGCTCTCTCACCTTCCAGCCCTCGCAACCAGCAGCCAAACAGCACCACTTTCAGACCCTGGGCTCCGCCATCTTGGCACCCACCAACAAGCCCTCCACGGATTGGCTGGAAGAGCGCCGCGCGCCGCGGAGCTTGCTGGGAGTGGTAGTTTTTTTGAGCCTGGCTGCACTAGCGGGGTGGGGGGGGGTGTTTAATACTTACAAATACCGGTCCCAGGCAGAGACATCGGGGCCGCCCGTCTGGCATGGGGGGTGGGGCGGTGGTGTTTTCCAGCCTATAGACACTGGTCGGATTTTTTTTTTTACTGTTATTCGGGGGGTTATTTATTGGTGCCCCTTTGCCACTTGGAATCTATAACCAGCCATTTGTGCTGGCCCCCGGCACCTGGCGGAGAAATGGGGCTGAATCCCGGGGTGGGCGCCGCAGCCAGAGGGGCTGTGACCCGCCCCCATCCCACCCCAGGAAAGATTCAGCATGCATCGTTAATTACGGTTATTTACTCTTCATTTACGGTAGCGTGCGCCAAGTGCCAGGCCCTTCCCAAACACCCAGGAAGGCTGGCACCTGCTCCCACTCTGAGGAGTCGTCTCTCCTCCAGTCAGTGGGTTTCAAACCATGGCCCCCGAGTAACGGGCTGGGCACTGGCGTTGGCTTTGCGCAGAGCTCTGGGCAGGGCACGCGGGGCATTGGGGTCGGCTCGGCTCCCCTCATTTCCAACTGCTACACCATGTTAAAAGATGCGACGTTTAATAATTCACTCAGTATTACTTTCCCCAAGCAAGCAATTGCTCTAGCAGCCACAAATTTCAAGATCCGTAGATTCAAAGGCCACAAGGGACTATTGTGATATAGTTTGACCATCTGTGTAACATGGGCCAGAGAACATAAGGACGGCCATACTGGGTCAGACCAAAGGTCCATCTAGCCCAGTATCCTGTCTTCCGACAATGGCCAAATGCCAGATGCCCCAGTGGGAATGAACAGAACAGGTAACAGAACAGAACATCCCCAAATACTTCCTAGAGAAGCTCTCTTAGAAAAACAAACATCCAAGCTTGATTTTAAAATGGCCAGTGATGGACAATCCCCCATGGATGTGATAAGGACTGGGAAAGGAGGTGGGGGCCAGGCCTTGAGGAATGGGAGGAGAGATTTCCTTGTACTCCCCTGTCTGTGTCCATCTGTTGTCTCTTGTATTATACTTACATGGTAAGCTGTTTGGGGGAGGGATTATCTCCTTCTGTGTCTGTACAGAGCCCAGCACCATGGAGGGGTGGTAGGGCCATACAGATAATAAATAAGAAGATGAGGGGGGAGGGCTATCCACTAGAGGGAACATTTGGGAGCCCCTTTCCGAGATAAATTGGAATACTCCAGTATTTGTACCAATCCTTTGCACCTCTCTCTACTTACTGCAAATACAGAGGTACTGTTCTTTCGTTCTCTGGGACAACTGGCAGGCTTGTAAGGGGAAAGCGCTTTCTTTCCAACCTGGCGCTCACATCTCTAGCCAAGCCCTCCGGCTGAGGGAGGCCATCTGAAGGGGCAGACCTGGCAGATGGTTTCGGATCATCTTCATTCCCTTCGCCATCTCGAGGGGATGTGGCAATGCTGGGCTGGAAATGCTCTGCTACTGTCACATGCACAATCAAAATAGTTGTGCAAAGCCGCAGATTGACTCACGTGCGGGGACCCGTTGTCTACACGGGCCTCACCAATCAGATCAAGGCAACGTGTTGCCTCCCCAACCAGGCTCGAGCTGGGACATGTTCTCTTTGGGAGCTGCAGCTGTGCATTCGAGGAGGCGCTGCAGCTGGCAACCCCGGCGCTGAAGACAGAATCAAAGACACCTTCTTGGCTACCCGCTCCCAGGTGCATCCCAGCACAGGCTGGCTTCGGGGCTGACGGGCACCTGATTCATTCTTCATTCCCCAGCCCCTTTGCTGTTTACTGCTTCGTTGAGGCTCCTGGTCAGAGTGATTTGGGGAGAGGGTGTTGACTTAGATCCAGGATGATCCTGTGATTAGGACAGTGAATTGGGACTCCAAAGAGCTGCCGAGGGGGGATCCCTTCCTGTGACCTGCTGCGTGACACGCTCCCCCCCACTCCTAGTCTAGCTAGACTATAAGCTCGTTGGGGCAGGAACTGTGCGCAGAACAGTCTCGCTCTCACTGCAGGCCTCGAGGAGTTGCCATTAATACACATGATAGATAATAACAGGGGCTAGTCCAGGAGCCAGGACTCCTGGGTTCATAGATTGAAGTGGCAGCGTCTCGGTTTCCCAGTCTTTGGAAAGGGCGTCACCACGCCTGTCTCATACCACCCACTGCAAACACAAACCTCTTGGCGAGGGGCTAGAGGGAGGCCAAATATTATTGACACACCCACGATGGGCGCACTGCGGCCCCCCAGAATTCCACGGCGGAGCCCAGATCCTCCGGCACCAAAGTCCAGGCCCGGAGCCCGGAGGGCTTAAGCTAGGGGAGACACCCCATTGGTTATTAATGAGACAGGGGCCTATGACAGCAGTTGTGTTATTCTGATTCAATCCAGTAGGGGGCAATGGTCTTTCTCACACATGCACGCACAAGCCAAATTAGTGCAGCCCCTTCCAGATCTCCCCCGAGCCCCACAACTGCATTTCGCCAGCAGGGCCCATCCCCAGCCGTGCAGTGGCCTTGTGCCCTGTAGCAGGCGCTGCAGGGGTGCAGCTGGATTGTCCGTGCCCACGCACCCTGCTCTTTACTGCAGTGGAAACTGCATGGGGGAATGCTCTGGACTTGCGGTAGCCGAAACAACAGAGAACTTTCCCCCCAGGATAGGGGCAGCGGGAGCTGTGCTGAGCTCTCTCTCTTCTCTCTCTTTCCTGGCATCCGTTTCTCCCCACAAAGTGCCACCCACCTTCCCGGGCTGGCTGGCTGGTGTGCCCAGATCACCTGATCCCCCTCCCACGAAACCCAGGGTCTCCCAGTCACGTGCCCTGCACTCGCAACAGAGAACGGTGCCATTCGCCATCTGCCAGGGTAATTGGGCAGCGGCTTGGAAGGGAACCTGGAGGAGGAGCTGCGTCCCTGCCAGCTCCATGCGGGGGCTCTGCACTTACGTTGCTGCAGACATGGGCCAGGCCAGGCCCTGGTACCGTGGGTGTGCAAGAGTGGGGGGTTTGGCCCCTCGCTCCAGCGTCGTCCCCGAGGATCCTGCATTTCGCGGGTGCAGAACAGGCCTCGTTGGCTGAGCGAATTCCACCCGGCATCAAGGCGAAGTCAAGAAGCAGATCGGGCCCAGCTCAGAGTCAGGCCTGGGTTGTGATGAAAAGGCCTCCGGGCGCAAGTTCACAGCCTGGTTTTCAGAGGTGCCAGACACCTGACACTTCTGTTGGCTCCGGCGGGACCTGCGGGCGCTCAGCATTTCGGACCCTGTCTCTCTGCAACGACAGCTGAAGCCAAGCGAGTCTGACTCTGACCTAGTTCCCAGCGTCGCCGTAGGAGCAGTGGACTGAGCTGGGGGCCATCAGCCAGGACTCCTGGGCTTTATTCTTGGCTCTGCCACCGACTCCCTGCATGACCCGGGGCGAGTCCCCCCTCCTCTGACCTGCAGTTTCCCCATCGGCAAAGTGCTAACAATGCTGCCAACTGATCGCTCCCTTTGTGGAGCGCTGGGTGTCTGGGATGAACGGCACCATGGCCGCGCACAGCACGGCAACCAACCGGTGGGCGTGGCTGAGTCACCAGCGCCCCCTGCTGGATGGAATCGCAAACTTCTCGGCTGTGTGTCATAGGCCCTTCACCGCTAACAGAGATTCCCCTTGAGCGGCCGTGCAAGGGCTTTCAGTGCTGCTCTGAGATCTAGCCCCAGGCAGTTCCGAGTCCCCGTGAGCTATCCAGGAAGCTCCTTGCTCCCATGAAAGCGCAATCCACCTCTTCGCCTTTCTTTTCCCCTCCTGCGGCTGTGCAATACGTTGTTCTTTTTCTTTCCCCAGCGGCAGGGAGCAGGTGACAGAGGCTTAGAATAATGATCAGCCCACGTGTGGTTTCAGAATCCCTCTTTCTTCCCCTCCAGGGTTTTCGTCTGCTGCCCTGGGACACTCCCATCCCCAGCAGAACATGGCTGGGAGAGCCTGCGTAGGGAATCGTCAAACAGCCCTGTCCATCCTGAAGGCACGGCCTGGCCTGTCTCTGTTCACTGCACATAACCTTGCCTTGTCCCCTTACTGCTTGTATTACACCACAACCCCGAGGCCCGCCCAGGGCCCTGCCGGCCGGGCAGCGCACAGGTGGAGAGACCACCCCGAGCCAAGTGCTCACAGGCTCACCTGACGAGTGTTGTGATCTCCCTGTTCCGCAGGGGAACGGAGGCACAAAGGACTCCCCTGAGCTCACGCGCCAAGTCAGAGAGAACCCAGGAGTCCTGATCCGCGCGCTGCCCCCGATCCCATAATAACCCTGCTCAGAACGTGCCCTTCCGCAGCGAGGATGTGAATACGGGACCCAACCCCCAGCCACAGCGGGGCCGTCCTGGGCAGCCTCAGCGGAAAGGCCTGGGGCAACGCCTCGCCTCTACCTGGGGCGCGCCGGCAAGGCTGGGGGACGCCGGCCCTGCCCCGGCTCCCCGCAGCCAGCGTGGAGTGTCTCTGGGAGCCTACTGGGGGACAAGCAACAGCCCTGGCCCCAGGCTCTGGCATGCGCCAGCTCCAGACGCAGTCTGTGGGAGCCCGGCCCTGCCCCAAGCTGACCCCACCCACTTCCAGTGCCGGGGGGGGGGGGGGCTGTAATCCACGGGGTTACCCCCACTCCAAACCGTTCCCAGCCACGGGATTCTGCACTAGGGCCAGCAGAGGGTGCTGAGCAGCTGGGCTCCCCCGGCCATCCCTGGCACCCTGTCCGTTGTACCCCCCCCACCACACACACACACACACTGGGCCCTTGTTTATTGTTCAGCTCAGCTCCTTCCCAACGAGGCGGTCGAAGCCGGGGTGGGCGGGGGGCTCTGCGGAGAGGCAGCAGCTGTCAGCTGAGCTGGCGTCTGTCCAGCATGGCTCTGTGGGGGCCATTCAACAGGCTGGGAAACAGCCTACGCTCGTGCCACGGCACCGCCAGCCCCGCCTGGGCCGGAAGGATCCGCTTGCCCCTGGCGATGCCAGAATCCGCAGCCCCCGCTCGCCAGGGCTCCTGCCCTGCGCTGGCTTCATCTCCCCAGCACCCCTCAAGCCCACCCCGCAGCCCCCCGCTATCCCAGCCCCCCCCCGCTACCCTAGCCCTGGGCTCCCCACAGCCCCACAGCTGTACCAGTGCCCCCCAATCCTGACCCGCAGCCCCCCGCTATCCCAGCCCTGTGTTACATGGATCTGCACAAACTGGGTCTCCAGCCAAGTTCAGCGAAGACATTTGTCCTCTGTCCAGGGCTAAAGGCGACCGACCGATCACCCGGCTGGGCCATTTCAGTGGCAGGTTGGAGCCCAACGCCTGGGCAAGCCAGGCCTAGAAGAGGTAGTGATCAGGTCCCCCTGGGGCTGCCTCCCCCCCACACACGTTCTTTGCTGGGGAGGGGGGGGGCAGGCATTTACCCCAAGTGACACTGGCTTTTGGTCCCTTTGTTGTACAGTTTCCGCTCCGGCTCTAGGACCTATTCGCTGAGCTGCAGGCACCACACAAAACGTGCCAGGCCCTGCCAGTGTGGCGGCGGAGGGACCCAGTGCCAGGAGGGATCCGTGCTGGGGGGAGAGGCCATGGCAACGGCAAGAGGAGCTGAAGCAACAGGGAAAGAATTTCAGAATAAAAGGGGCGCCGGGTGCCCAATAGGGGACCCCCCTTCCCCACCACATCCTCGGGCCCCTTGTAGCTTTGAGGGCAGCTGGAGAGAGAGAGAAGAGGGAATTGTTACTCAGGGTCCTGCGTTTATGGAAGCAGCTCAGGATCTCAAAGCGCTTTGCAGAGGTGCCACGGGATCATGGTGCTACAGATGGGGAAACTGAGGCAGGGGGGGACTCACCCATGCGGTCACAGTGAGAGGCGGGTGCCCGCTAGCACCACAGCCGGGCACAGGGGTCCTGACGAAACTTAGTCTCTGCTCCCGCCCAGCGGTGCTCAGCTTCAGGGACGGGATGCGCTTGCCTTCAGAGACGGGAAAGTCCCAGCCCCCTGAGTCTCACCCAGGAGAGAGCCCGTCTGGGCTGCTGTGGTCCGGCCGCTGGCTGACCCACCAGCCCTTTGGGTGGCAGCCATCCCGGAGCCTTGGCAGCCTGCGAAAGAGCCAGGGCCCCACAGCACAGGAGAAGGCCAGGGGGGGTCAGCAGCTTGGGAGCAGCTGGCCAGCGTCAAGCGTGTTCCGCAGCGTCAGCAGCCGAACAGCCGGGGGCCGGATGCGGAGCACGGGGGTAAAATATTTGGGTCGTTTACAACATCAGCGTCAGAAACAAAGACAGAGGCACCGAAAACGCGAAGGGCCCCGGAAAGGGCCTGGAACCTTTTGTGCCTAGTGCAGGGAGACCCCCCCCACGCCACGGCATCGCGCCCTCTAGCACGGCTCTGGGGTCATCCCTCTCTCAGAGGGCAGAGTGCCCCCTATCGAAACACCAACCCTGCTTTCGGCTGCCCCTGGGGGTTCCCTGGCTGCTCCCCCAGGCCAGCACTGAGCCGGTCCCCGACGGCGTGTGCCTTGGGCGGCCTGGGCTGTAGGGGAATGAGCCGTGCTGATGTTACCCTGCTGGAGAGCTGTGGGTGCTCAGGGCAGCGCCCAGTTCCCGGGGGCTCCGCTCCTGTTCAGCACGTCGCTCTAGGCGGGAATTTCCCTGGGACCCTTCGTGCCTCCTCAACTCCTCTGGCCGGCAGGGTGACAATCCCCTCATCCCAGCGCCACCACTCCCAGCCCCACGCGGGGACGAGCCAAAGGGGCTGAAGTGGATCTGGCAGTGGGGGTGGGGTCCTGGGGGCTGGGGTTTCCCAGCACTAACCAGTCAAGAGGAGCTGGGAGCGTCAGTGTCCAGATTGGGGAGGGAACCAGATCTCTGAGCCCACCCAAAATGGACCCCAGCTATGGCCTCTGGAAATGGAAACGGTGCCCCTCACTTCCGACCTGCAGCCCCCTGCTAGCCCAGCCCTGGGCTCCCCCCCACCCCAGCTCTGCCGGTGCCCCTCACTCCCGACCCGCAGCCCCTGGGCTCCCCCATCCCCCAGCTCTGCCGGTGCCCCTTACTTCTGACCTGCAGCCCCCTGCTAGCCCAACCCTGGGCTTCCCCCCACCCCAGCTCTACTGGTGCCCCTCACTTCCGACCTGCAGCCCCCTGCTAGCCCATCCCTGGGCTCCCCCACACCCCAGCTCTGCCAGTGCCCCTCAATCCCGACCCGCAGCCCCTGGGCTCCCCCACACCCCAGCTCTGCCGGTGCCCCTCACTCCCGACCCGTAGCCCCTGGGCTCCCCCACTCCCCAGCTCTGCCAGTGCCCCTCACTTCTGACCTGCAGCCCCCTGCTAGCCCAACCCTGGGCTCCCCCCCACCCCAGCTCTGCCAGTGGCCCTGACAAATGCACTGACTTGCGGTAACCTCGGCCCCTGCCCCCAGCGCTGAGGCAGTGAAGGGCATCTCGCCCTTCACTGAGACTTCGGCAGCAGCGGCTGCAACACCAGGCGGCGGGGGGGTGGGGGCGGCACTGGGTGGGCTGCAGGAGGGGGAGCAGGAGCAGGGTCAAGTAGCTGGGGGGTAGGGGGAGGGTGGAACTCAGGACTCCTGGGTTCCGTCCTCAGCTCTGTCCCTAACTCGGCCTGTGACTGTGGCTGATGAACACCCGCCATTGTGACGATGTTTTGCCCCAGCCAGACACCTGGCTGCTGCCCCCATGTGCTCCTGGGACAGACGAGGAAACTGGGGCAGATTCAGAGACTTGCTCTCGGTAGCTGAGCTGGGAATGGAACCCAGGAGTCCTGGATCCTGGCCCCTCAAGTCTAACCCAGCAGGCCCCACTCCTCTCCCAGAGTCAGGGACAGAACCCAGGAGTCCTGGCCCCTCGAGTCTTACCCAGCAGGCCCCATTCTCCCCCAGAGTCAGGGACAGAACCCAGGAGTCCTGGCCCCTCGAGTCTAACCCAGCAGGCCCCACTCCTCTCCCAGAGTCAGGGACAGAACCCAGGAGTCCTGGGCTTGGTGCCCCAAGCCCAAGCCCTGCTGGAGGGGGCAGCAGGGGACAATCCTGGGTGCCAGCAAGGCCCATGGGGGGTCCCTGTCTCCAGGGTCCATGGTCGGGATTTTTCATCTCTCCTGGGGGAGGGGAGCGGCCTTTCCCCGCAATGCTCAGCCTCCCACGTCCCAACTGCAGGTCTGGTATGGGGGGTGGGGGGAAGAGGGGACATTCCACCACCCCCCCCCCCGCCCCTGGATCTTCAAGGGCCTCCAGATTATTGTCAGAAAGGCCAAAATCACCGATCCCAGCAAAACCCTGACCCAGCAGCCAAAGCTTCTGTCCCAGGATTGCCCAGGCCCAGCAGCCCCGGGCGCCTGGAGGGCAGGTTGGGTTTTAAATAGCAGCATCCAGGGACCCCAAGATACTCACTGGCCCCCCAGTAATGGGGGCCGAGAACCGGCCCTGCCCAGGATGCCAAGCCCTGCCCCAGGGGCTCAGACCCCTCTCACCCCAAGCTGAGCAGGGACTCTGGGTGGCAGGAGCAGGTGGGACAGTATGGGAGCCTCTCGCACCCACAGCCCAGCCGGAGACTGCCTGGAGCGATGGGGCTGCTTTGGGGCCAGGCCCCTGCACCCTGACACCCCCAGCCACCGCTGGGCTGTTCCTTGCAGCCAGCCCCCCCGTGCCTGGGGTCATCCCCGGGTTTGGTCCGGGCAATCCCGACCCACAGCCCCCTGCTCTGCCAGCCCTGGGCTCCCCCACCCCACAGCTCTGCCAGTACCCCCGCAGCCAGTGCCCCCGTGCCTGGGGTCGTCCCTGGGTTTGGCCCCAGCAGTACTAGGACAGGAGAGCTGGTAGCAAGCAGGCGCTGGCCTGGGTCAGCACGTGGGTCTGCGCCTGTCACAGAGAGGCCCTGGTCCCTGGGGTCCTTTCTCCCAATTCCTGGGGGTGTTTGCCCCTGTCTCCTGGTCAGACCCCAGTGGGGGGCCTGCACCCTGCCTCCTTGAATTGCTCCTGGTGGCTGGAGAAGTGGCTTCCGGGCTCCACCCCAGAGCGGCCCACAGCGACCCCAGCCACGGCAGAGCCCTGTTCCTTCCCCAGCTGTGTTCCTGGCCCCGCTGGGCCACGGCAGGGAGGGGGTCGGGATGCCGGGGCCTTTGTCTCCCAACCCGGCTCTGGCTTAATTACAGGGAGAGAGCGACCCCGCCCTGAGAGAAGAGCTCGTTCAGCAACCTCCTAATGAACCTAATGAATTAATGAATTAAGCTAATGAACCTGTCTCCCGGGGAGGTGCTGACCCCGCCGAGACCCAATTCCCCACCACGCTCCACTTCCCGGAGCCGAGGACACGCTGGAGGAACGGATCAGAGACGCAGGCGCCCGGCAGGTTCCTATTGCAGTGGGTGAACTGGGGGGGGCCACAGGCCTATCGGTGCCCCTCAGTGCCGACCCACAGCCCCCTGCTCTGCCAGCCCTGGGCTCCCCTACCCCACAGCTTTGCCGGTTCCCCTCAATCCCGACCCACAGCCCCCTGCTCTGCCAGCCCTGGGCTCCCCTACCCCACAGCTTTGCCGGTTCCCCTCAATCCCGACCCACAGCCCCCTGCGCTTTCCATTTCCACCTCCCCCAGGCACCTACGCTGGGCTGCAGTCAGGCATGGGGTACCTGCTCCCATGCTGGGGGAGGGCCCTGTCTCCTGCTGCCCCCACCCTTGTGGGGCACAAGCAACCATTCATGTTCTAGAGCAAGATGTGTGTTCTAGAGCAGGGTCGCATGTTTATTCTAGAACAGGGTGCATCTACCGACGCATGTTCTAGCACATACGCCCATTCTAGAGCAGGAAAGGCCTGGGGCGAGTTCGTCTAGAATGTCGATGTTCTGGAGCTGTGTGTTCTAGAGCCAGGGAAGGGTTGTTCTGGAGCAGGGCGTTCAGGAGGCCTGTATCCCCGAACCGTCCCCTCCCGAGGGGGTGGGTTCTAGCCTGGGCATTGGGTGGTTTCAGGATCCTCTTCGCTCCTGGCCTGGGGGGATGGGGCAGGGGCATCTCTCCAAGAGTTGCAATGCACAAGCCGTGGGGCAGGCTCCAGTTCCCTCTTACCCGCCCCCCCCCCCCCCCCACAGGCCTGGCCACATGGGCCCCATTGGGTCCCTGCCTCCTGTGCTCTGGTCCTGGGCTCCCCATGGGGCCTTTTCCCCTCTGCTGCCCACCCCTGGGGAAACACAAACCCTGCCTCTGGGCTCTGAGAGTGGCTCTGGGCTCAGCCCTGCCCCACACTAGGGCAGGACCAAGCCTGGATGCAGTGAGCGGTGCCTGGGAAAGCAGCCCGGGCCAGAGGCAGCCCGCCAGGCCCCTCCACCTCGGAATAACTCCCTGAGGCTCCAGCCAGGGCCATGCCTAGATCCTCCGCCCGCCCGCCAGGTACAGGGGCAGGGGAGGCGCCGGGAGCTTTGCCAGCCAAGGGGACGTCCGCTCCAGCAATCGCACTGATGGGAAATAACAAAGGCCACTTAATTCCCAGCGTTAATTATTCATCCAGGCCCCGCCGAGCAGGGAGCCACAAATCCCCCTATTCTGGAGCCGGGATTAAGGGGATTTGGGCAGTGCCTTGCCGGCTTGAGGAAGTGACTCCTGGAGAGGGCAACCGGCGCTGGAGGAGTCCGGGTGGGGCCGGGGCTGGGGAGGGGCTGGTGGGTATTAATAAGGACAGATTTCCTGCAACCAGGGCTACGCACGGGGCCCTCGGCACGTCTGACACCTGCAGGCCGGGGGGGCGGCTGTAACGGGACACTTGTTCTTCCCTGTCGGTGGGGCGCTGGTTCGAATCTAGCCTGGGGCGGTGGAAAGCAGAAGGCAGCCCTGTCCAAATGCTCTACGGAGGGACCCGGGCCCGACCCCCAGTGCGGCTGGGATGGGACACTTGGGTGGAGGGGCCATGCATCCCATGCAGGCGGCAGCCCGGCAGGCCAGGTCCGTCCGCAGCGGGGTGGGGACCCTGGGGGTGAATGAGGCTGCCAGAGCCCACGGATTGCAGGTGCAGGGATCTAGCAAGCTGCAGAGGGAAGCTGCCCTCCCGCCCCCAGCCTGGCCGGCACCAGCTAAGCACTCTTGGCTGCCTGCGCCCGGCTCCCA